CTCATGTAATGGTACAAGATCCCAATGATGAATGTAACTGTATTTTATACCTAAAGTGTACCAATAAACATAATGGGAAAAAACCCCCCGAATTGTATACCTAAAATGTACCAATAAAGAACTAAAAAAAAAACAAGTACAGAGTGCACGTCAGGCTTTCTTGGGAAGACTCTTAGGCAATTTGTATGTAGTCAAGTTCTTGCTGCCTAACAGAACATATATCTTTAAGAGAACAATGACTGAAAGAGACTGTAGGAGTGTTGAATGGCGCTAGAAGAGAGAAGGTCAAAGCTGGACCTGCATTGGGAGAGGGCCTTCAATGTTCCAGCTGTGTGACAATTTTTTTCTGACCCCTTCCCAACATCCAAAAAGGTAACTGAAGCCTAGAAATGGGAAATGACCTCTCCAAGTCTTCTGAGCAAGGTAGTGACGGAGGCAAGACTTGAACTCATAGAACGAATGCATGGCCCAAGGCAAGCTTTTCCTCTATATTATGCTTAAGAGCTGAAAATTCTATGAGTTATTTTACCTTAAGTCATATTTATACAAATTTCATTCAATCTGGGCTTTCTTAGATGCTCAGAGAGAAAAATCCCCAAGCAGATCCAATTTTTAGAAGAAATTTCTTTAATAAACTTTAATTATATATGGTAGGAACTTGTATAAAAGTGTTAATCCACATACACAAAGACACAAGTCAGCTAAAGACTTAAATCTAAAGAGAATTACTTCTTTGGTCTGCTAAGACTGCCCTGAGGTTTACATTCATGGCTTCCCCCCCTCCAAAATGAAAATACCCTTTTTAATTCTCCTGTTCATGTATGATTGTTATAAATACATTCACATAGGCCTCACATTTTTTGATTCATTTTTCTGTAAGCAGTTTTAAGTTTTGTGATGACTGTGAATGATACATAATCACTTTATCATAATTTCTTATTAGTTTCTAGTAGAGCTGCACTCTAACTTATTTCTAATAAACAACATATCACCTGTGATACCTTATTCTTTTCTTTTCAGTATTTTTATTCCTTTCTTTTTTCTGATCTAGAGTCAGGTGGTAGTCTGGAGACTGATGTTACAGACATTGATAGCAGATGTCCTAAGAAGTTGTTGGTGTTTTGCCATCAAGTATGCTGTTTGTCATTATCCTAATATATTCATTTAGGTCAAGGATAGTTCCCTCCTTAAAGTATGCTAATTTAAAAAATTGTAAATTGCCAGTCACTGTGTCACACACCTGTAATTCCAACTACACAGGAGCCTGAGGAAGAGAATCCCAAGTTTGAGGCCAGCTTAGTGAGACTCTTATCTTAAAGTAAAAAGTAAAAAGGGCTGGAAAGGTAGCTCAGTGGTAGAGCAAATACAAGGCCCTGGGTTCAGTCCCCAGTAGAGCAAAAACAAAAGTCTTAAATACACGTGGAATTTTATCAAATGACTTCCCAACATTTGTTGATATAATTATTTTTCTTTTTAAACCTATTAACAGAATAGAGTACAGAAATAAATCCGCCAATGTTCATAATGTTAAAAATGTTAAAATTCCTTTAAAAATTCCACTAGATAATGTGTATTATTTGTTTTATGTACATTAATTTTTAATCTGCTCAGATTCAATAAATAACTACTTTTACTCTTTATTTTTTCATGATCATCTAATTCTTTGAAAAGTCTTTATCCTAATACTAGGCTGCCCGTACTGCTCTTAAAATTTAGCCCAGCATATTAAGACTTATATTTCAGTATCAGTGCAATGAATTATATTGTAAGATCCACCATCCCAACACACCCTTCCTAAAACAGGCTATTGTTGAGTTGTAACTTTGTCTTTCTCCATCTCCCAGCTTGGAGAAGTCATCCAGAATTGCAACCTGAGTTAGATCGTTGCTTTGTTGTCACTGTTTACAGGTGTCTCCGGAGAAATGGAGAAACAACAGTTGAGTGCTGCCATGCGGAGATAAGATGACCAAGGCTTCTCATGTCCAACTGCTCAACTGCCTTTGCTACCAGACTTGTTTAAAGTACCCAGTAGAGAGGATCACTGCAAAATTAGAACACCCTACCCTCTACAACCTTAGCGAGAGCAGCCCTCTCCATCATGCACACTGTGGCTGTCGGTACAGGGGACCCGGATGGAGACTGCTATCTGGCCCCATCTGGTCACCATGCCTAGCTTGAGGGTCTGTAATAAAAATACTTCAACTTTCTCATTTTGATTGTGCCTTGGAAACCATACCTGTAGCCAGACCCTGACAGAGAGGCCACTGCAGTGAGACCCATGTAGGTGGACCCCCTGCAAGTATCCTTCTGTCTGGGCCTCTGGTGACTGCTGAGTATAGTAGCTACCAGCTAAGTTAGTAGAGGAACTAGAAGAATTTCATTTTTTAAAAAATTCTTTTATTGGTATATTTTAGGTATACAACACAATTACATTTCTCATTGGGAACTTGTACCTTTACATGTTGTGTCTTGGTTCTTAATTTTTCCCCATTCCCTGCCCTCCCTTCATCCCCTCCACTCTTCCCTATTGACAAAGACTTTGTTTGCATTTTTCCCATTTCTCATAATTCTTCCTTTCCCTTCTTTCCTTTCCCCTACCCCTCCCAATTCCCCTACCCCTTTGGGCCTTTTCTTCCTATTTCACATTATCAATTATTCATTCTAATCATTGGTACATTTTAGGTATACAATATAATGACATTCATCATTGGAAATTTACACCTTTACATGATCTCTCTTGGTTCTTATTTTTCCCCCCTTGCCCAGCCCTCCCTTCAACCCCTCCATCCCTCCCTATTTACAAAGACTTTGTTTCCATTCTTCCATTTTCTCATATTAATTCCATTTCCTTCTTTCCTTTCCCCTACCCCTCCCACTTCCCCTTCCCCTTTGCCCCTTTCCTTCCTATTTCACATTATCTATTATACCTTTTAGTCCTTATTTATACTTTCAGTTTCTCACACTAGAGAAACTATTCGGTATTTACATGTGTGTCCTATTTATTTCACTTAAGAGGATCGCCTCAATGTGCATCCATTTAGCTATAAATGTCTCTAATTAGAAGAATTTCATTTAAAATAATATGCTTTCTACTAATTCTTTCCTATTGTAATCTGCAAATTCGGCATCAACAATCAATTAGACTTTATTGGTCTTTTCATTGTTTGTACTTCTTAATTCCCTTTGTAGTATGCTTCTTGTGTAGCATGTTTGTCACGTTCTTTTAAAATTATTTCTTACAGTTTGTTGTGAGAACTTTCTAAAGCAATGTTTTTCAGAAGGAGGCTGCAGGAATGTGGGCTTTCATGTGACAACTGTCACTTTAACACTGATACCTGTGCACTGGTTGGTTATGTGTAGAACTTTGAACTCAAAACTCACTTCCTCCAGTATTCTGTAAACATTGTTTACTGAACATCACATTAGGGCTGCAGCACAGAAGACTAATGTTAGTCAGACTCATTCTTTGTTAAATAATTTTAACTTAATTATTAACTTTAGTCAGTAAATATTAACTTTTTCTACTATCAAAGAGTCAATAGAATATTTTGGTATACACTAGGACCAAAACATATCCTTTGATCTAGATAAAATATATATTTTCCTGAAATTCTTACTTAGAAGCTAGTGAGCTCTTTTGATCAAGAACCAAAAAGTCTTCAGAGAAAATTTTGTTTTTTCTTTTTGATCAATATTTGTCTCTTATCTGATCTGTTGTCGTTTTGTAGAATTCTGTGGTGGATTTATCATAGAATATAGCCCCCTGATCTGTCTTTTATGTCTCTCATATTTCCTCAAATAATTTTAATCTTGTATTGTTTTTATTCTGGCATTGAGACAAACATTTTAACTTGGTTTTGAGTTTAAAAATTATTTTTACTGGGCCAGGGATTTAGCTCAGTGGTTTTGAGGCCTGCTGTGCAAACGCAAGGACCCGAGTTCAATCCCCGGTACCAAAAAAAAAAAAAAAAAAAATATATATATATATATATATATATATATATATATATTTACTCTTGTCTTCTCTATTTTTCCATTTATTGATTTTGACTTTCATCTGATAAATAATGTTTTCTTTCTATTTCCAAAAAATGTTCTTGTCTTCCACTCACATTTTCTTTTAGACTCTTTTCATAGACTGCCCTAGACTCAAAGGCCTCTCACTTCTACTGAAAATATTACAAAGAATTAAACCCAAAACACATAAAACAAGCCACCAAATAAAATTTCCTCTTCTGCGTGCATTAACTCCTTTTCAGTAAAGACCAATTTGTTTGATTGTCAGTTTTGTTCTCTTTTGGGTCGATATCAGTGATTTTCTGATTATTTCAGTTTCCACATTACTCTGATGCCTCATGGGAGACCACTGCTTACTAGGAACAAACCCAGGGATGAACAAAATCTTCAAAAAGAGAAAAAAGAGCCTTTAACCTTTGCATCAATTTTTCCATACCTTCCGCATTCCACTGTCTTTGAGAATGAATGATTTTCTGGTAAGGACCTTGATTAAAGACAGAGATTAATTATGGAAACATAGGGAAAAATAATTCAGAAAACATTTATTAAGAATTTATGTTACAGTGAATAGATCAGGAGGAAGATAACTATTACCAGATGCTAGTCTATGTTATGTATTCTCAAGGTATAACTTAATATGGAGTACATAGTACTATAGAAGTAAAAACCTACTTAAATATGCTCAAAGAAGCCAATAGTAGTTGAACAGAAGACCTGAAGACTAGGGATTTTTATTTGCTAAACAATAAAAATTGGAAGAATCACCTTTCTGTGACCTCAGTTTGGTTAGTATTTATGACAAAGTGTGAGAACTAGGAGGCTAGACAAATGATGATATACATTTTGTGGAATTGCTCCTAGAAAGAGCTGGGAAGAGTTCTATGAAAAATTCCCGATTCACCTACAGCCCTTAGTGTAGTGGGATTTACCTATGTAATCTTTGATGAAATTGGCCCTCATAGTGATTTCATTCTCTGAGACAATCAGGTGGAAGTCACAGAGCACAGAATCATTGGGAAACCCCATTTCTCTCTTACCAGGCTCCTCACAGCAGCCTTCACATCTTTGTTTCTTAGGCTGTAGATGATGGGGTTCAGCATGGGGGTCACCACCCCATAGAAGAGGGAGATGAGCTTGTCTGCAAGGTCCTGCTTGTCTGGCCCCCATGGGTCCTTGGACTTGGGCTTCCCATACATGAAGAGGATGGTCCCATAGAAGACGACCACAACTGTAAGGTGGGCAGAGCAGGTGGAGAAGGCCTTTTTCCTGTCCTCAGCAGAGGGAATCCTCAGAATGGTGGCAAGAATGAAGACATAGGAGAAAAAGATGAACAGAACTGGGACTCCTACATAGATCATGTTGGCCACTGCCATGCTGATCACACTGATGGAGATATCAGCACAGGCCAACTTCAGGATAGCCAGGATCTCACAGGTGAAGTGGTTGATGACACTGTCCCCACAGAAGGGAAGTTGCATTGCTAAGGATGTCTGTACAGTGGCAGTGATACTTCCAGCTGCCCAAGAGCTGATGGCCATGGGCACATAAGCAGACTTGCTCATGACCACAGGATACTCAAAGGGATTGCAGATAGCCACATAACGATCAAATGCCATCATGCTCAGGAGCACACACTCTGTGGCTCCCATGGCAAAAGACAGAAACATCTGCACAGCACAGACTGAGAAGGAGATACTTTTCCTGGGGGTCAGGAAGCTGTCAAGAATGAGGGGGATTGAGGAGGTTGTGTAGCAGATGTCCAGAAAGGAGAGATTCGCCAGGAAGAAGTACATGGGCGTGTGTAGGTGGGAGTTGAGGATGGTCACCAGAATGAGTACTCCATTGCCCAGCAGGATCACCAGGTACATTGACAGGATGAGCACAAAGAATGTTTTCTCTAGCTTCGGGTGGCCTGTGAGGCCCAGGAGAATGAATCGCAATAGAAGGAAGGTCTTATTGGACTCAACCATTGTGTGTCCTATGTTACTTACAGGAACTCAGAAGGTCAACTTCATGATTCTCTAATGTCTAAAGTGAGAAAACCTCTTCTTTCCAAGCAACTGGAGAACAACTCTGGCAATCTGTGGAAGCAAGTTCTCTATGTTGTTCTAAATAAAATGCAGGAGAGTTGATCAACATTTATTTGATGGTGTCTAGCCATCCCATAAAGAGATCTGAAATATCACTTGACTGCATTTAACTATCCTGATCATACTCAGGACAGACATCACATATTTATTTCACTTTATACCATATGTGGATGATTCATTTTATTCAAATTTGGTAAAAAATATTAAACTTTGTTTTTGAAAATTTCTCCCCCTTGAAGCCTAGAAAAACCTGGTTTTCTTTGTCCGCAATTTGTTACTATTTTCATCTGTAACCACCGTTACAGAGTGCTCCTCTCTTCTTTTCTGAGTTCTTTCTCACAATATACAGGACCTTGATCTGTCTATCTATCCATTCATTCATTCACTAACTCACTTGCCAAACTCATTTGGAAGTTATTAGAGAACTGACATTCACTGATCACTGATATTTGGCTGTACATGGGAATCATTGTGTCCTCTTTCCTCTCTGGGCCTCTTCTCTCTAACATTCACTTTGGATAGGTTATTATTAGAGATATTCCATCTCAAGGACTAAATGACCTCATGAATTTCTCCTTCTTGGGCTTTCTGCTGCACCACTTCCATGTTCTTTCCTCTCACCCTAAAGAGCCTCCCTAAAGAACCTCAATGCCACTTAGTCTCCAGGTATGAAGGCAGGGACGGGGTGATCCTACAAGAGTTTCTGTATTCTTTTAAAAGTGCTCTCTTACCTTTCCATAAATATGATGATAAAGAAAATCACTTCTCCAAAGTCTGAAAATAACCCACAAGCCCCAAATAGGCAATCTAGTAAAAAAGCAGCAGACAAAGGAATAAGCACCTTAAAATGAGTGGAAGTTAAGTTTTCCTGTCTTTGTTCTGTATCTGGGTAAAATCCATGAAGGAGCATTCACTGCACATACAAAGTCATTTAAGTCCCACTGTGCTATTGGGATTCTCCATTCCCTGAAGTGATTTAAAGTTTTGAAACCAAAGTGATAAAGTTAAACTTTCTATACATCTGGGATTGAGTCCCCAAGATCCAATTATTCTGAAGTTTCTCCAGAAATACTTTTCTTCTCTCCTTCCTGCTTTTTCTACCCATTCAGCTAAACTGTTGGAAAACATTAGAGAATAAAGATCATTATATTCCTATTATAATAAACCCCCAATAAATGAGAACCCTCACCAGAGCACATAAAAAACTGGGCCATTGTAAAACTTATCAAGCAGGACAAATCCTTGTGGCTCAATATCCTTGGCCATTTCTAAATTCAAGATCTCAGGGCCAGATAAAGCAAGCCACTTCAAAGGTCTCATCTTACTAGGACTCCACCAAATGGATTGTAAGCTTCTACCATAACCCAGGCTTTTAAAGGATATTAGAAGGTCCTAAATACATGGGGCCATGGCTTTTGCCATGGGAGTTTCACATACATACGGGCCATGGATTTAAAAAGCTGATCACAGAAATGTTATCCATTGTTTGAAGTCTTCATCTGTGTGTGCCTGTGTGTATGTGTGTATGTGCATGAGTATCCTGTATTTATTCCTTGGTTATAGTGTATCTACTAAGTTATAGTGTAACTACTGAGATCCAGAAACTTTAATTCTAAGATCCAAAGCTAAGAGCTGTGATCACCCAGGCAGCAGCCAGAAGCATCTTCAACTTGGACCATTGTTTTCTGAGATGCTATGGTTCCTTAGCCACTTTCTAGTTTTGTGCTTCTCATTTAATTCTAATATTAGGAATGATGGATGTCGTATGTGTTGAGCTCTCAGTCCACAGATGTCCTTGGTGTACAAAAGAAGGTTGTCTAGCATCAAGAACAAATAAAAGACTTGGGCAATTCCTTCTGCCTCTTCCACAAATGAAGAACACATCTGCCTTGTGTTTTGGATTCTAAATCCTACAATCTGCATTCATAGTTGTAAATTATTGTGTCTTGCATTTTTTTTCCTGTGAAGTATACTATACATACAGAACAATATAAAAAGTATATGTATACTATTTAAGGAAAAATAATAAAACACACACCATGCTTACTCAGATTAAGAATTAGAGTGTTCCAACACATTACTCAGCTGTCATCTTGCTTGCCTCCTTGTCCCATTATCTTAGAAGCCTCCCTTATTTTCTTCTCAAATTATATTCCCTTCTTTCCTTTCTTCTAGAGTTGACACTATTCCAATTTTTATATAAATTACTTTATGCTAGCCAGACAGGAGGAGCTTGTCTACCATCTGGAATAAAGACTCCACCCCACCCCATGATTTCCATCCTCTCATGATCAAACACTACCTAGGTACTGCTTTGAAGGGATTTTGTCATTGTAATTAAAGTCTCAAGTCAGTTGACCATAAGATTAGAAGATTATCCAGGTGGGTCTGATCCTGTCAAGTAAGAAGTCAGATTCAAAGGATGGGAAAGACTCCACATATCATTTATGAATTTAAAGCTGGAAGACACTACAAGCAAAAGCCAAAGAGCTGTCACAAGGAGGTAAGAATGACCTTTTAGAAAAGTCATCAGGGACACTGGGGCCACAGTCCACCAGCCACAAGAAACTGAAATCTGTCAATGACCTGAAAGGGCTTGAAAGATAATTTTTTTTTCTCAGCACCCACCCTAGCTCACCCAGACTTCTCACAGAACTATAAGATAATTGAATGTCACTTTATTTTTTATTTTATTTTATTTTTTTCTTAAATTCTTTTATTGGTACATTTTAGGTATACAATACGTTTACATTTATCATTGGGTGCTT